TAAGCCGCAGCAACAGTAACAACTTGTCCAAGGTTATCAACGATACTGTAAACATTTTCCAAAAGTTTACATTCGACAAACATGCTCGTAATTCGTCATCACCATACAAGTACTCACATAAATGTCGGAATCTGAATTTTCCTTAAAATCCACCGTATCTCTGCAAACGATGGTGCGCATTTGGTGTCTTCACAGTCGCCTCCATTGTACCGTCGCAGAGATGGTTATCGTTTGGATATCTCTCCGACATATTCTTCACCTTCAGACAACCGAGCACCTAGTAGGGCAGCTTCAGCTGTAAACATGAAGGATCCCCAAATCAGAAAAGCCGTCGAAAGCATGCACGTGCTTTCTCCTGAGCTCGAAACAATTATTCTCTACTGAATCGTGAAAATGTACCAATTCCTCCGGAATCTTCGCCGCATAAGTTGCCACGGTGTGTAGTTCCAAGCCCGAATCTGCCCCTTGACTTACGCAAAAAGATGCCCCAAAACGGCATGTGAGCATTTGTGCAAATCAGGTAATTATCGAGAAGCTACCTTCAGAACCTGTTATGCTGCTACCCAGGTCGTTTCTGGCTCGACGCTAGAGCATTTGTGGGGATTGTAACGTCAATCGAAATAATCAAACTTTTTTTTATTTTTTACTTTAAATGATCTTTATTTCTTGTGTATGAATTTTCAAATGACACAGATGCGTCTTTTCAACTTTAGTACATTTGAGATTTTAATTATTATTTGCAGTTCCTAGTCCTATCAGGCCTGTTTTAAAGTATGACCACCTTGGTGGGATTGGTTTGATTTGAATTGGAAAAAGGAGACTACTTATAACTACTATTTACAACAACAACTAACCTACAACTACTATATACACCTAATCTACTATATAGAAATTGCTTATCAAAGGATGTTCTGATAAATTACATTTTTGTGCAAATTTAGTTTTAATTTCGATAATTCTGGAATCTATCTTGGCAATGCCTGCCTCTTCGTGTAAATTTGTTATTCTAGTGTCGAATGGACGATCAAGTACTATCCTCAGCACTCTATTCTGAGCGATCTGAATTTTTTTCCTGTGAGTCTGTGCACATGATTCCCACACCGCAGCTGCGTAGAGGATCGCAGGTGCTATTATTTGTTTGTAGACAGCCAGTTTGTTCACCCTTGAGCGGATACAGACACGTAACCAAGGGGGAACACTTGATTACGGTTTTCTCCACATGCGAGCGGAATAGGAGCTTTTCGTCAAACAACATCCCGAGATAGGTTACTTCGGCGGACCAATCCACCCTTGTGCCATCCATGATTACAGTACAAGAGGGAGCCGGTTTTAGTTTGGGTGATTGCCGATGGAGGAACTTGATTGTTTGTGTTTTGGAGGCATTGATTTTGATTTTCCACGTGGTTGCATAATCAGCAAAGGCGTCAAGGCATCGTTGGAGCTTGTTTGTTATTTCCGAAGGCATCTTACCCTTGACGGTTATTGCGGTATCATCTGCGAACAGGAAGTATACGCAACTGTCTCCGAGGGTTGAAGTGTAGATGCTGTAAAGCAAAGGGCCCAACAGACTTCCTTGCGGAACTCCTGCTGGGATGGAGAAAGTGTTTGAAAGGCAGCCATTCAACGATACCTTAAACGACCTTTGCTAAAGGTAGTTACGGGTGATTTTAACAAGATGCAAAGGAAAGTTGAAGTTACAAAGCTTGTATACAAGCCCAATGTGCCAGACATTGTCAAACGCTTTCTCAACATCTAACAATGCCATGGCTGTGGACTTGGATACAGCTTTGTTACCTCGGATGTTATTCCGTACTAGCTGATGATTTGTGGAGTGCCCCTTCCTGAACCCGAACTGTTCCGGTAGGACAATGTTGTGCTTCTCGACAAACTTGAGCAAATGAGCAGTGAACCTTCATGCTGAGATTTTTCAACACTAGGTTGAATATTCCGTCAAACTCGGGGCCTTCATGTTTTTGGTGCATTTCAGCGCTGAGCAAATCTGTTCCACTGTGATTCTATCCTCCGGAGGGATGGCACAAGGGAAGGAATCAAGGTTGAGTACGCATTGCTCAACCTGAATTCGAGCGGACTTTCGATGTTGGAGCCAAGCATTTTCATCTTTGCGTGTTGGAATGGGTTTAGGGTGCGTCTTTAAGACCTTGGCAACTTTCCAGAATGGTCTGCAGCGGTCGTCCAGATTCTGGACAAGCCGCCCGAAACTTTCGTTCCGGAGTGAGACCATTCTGGCAGCAATCTCCTTGTCCAGATCGGCCATTTCACGTTTCCTCGCTAGATCTCCAGTCCTCTGAAATTGGCGTCTACGAACATTTCTCAGATGAATCAAGAGTTGGGTGTGGGAATTAATGGCAATAAACTTACCCCTCACAGGAACTCGTCGAACGCACGCCTCGTCAGCCACGGTTATGGCTTGGTGGAGTCCCTCCAACGCTCGGTCGATGTCTTCCACGGAGTCAAGCGGCGGATTGTCGATGAAGGGCCTGTCTACCACGCGTCCAAACTGGGCCCAGTTTACGCGATGATAGTCCTTGCGCAGGCTTGAAGCAGGAACCACGTTGCGGTTGGTGGTCGGAGCTGAGTTCGTTCAAGGCTATCGGCTTGGACAAGCCGATATTTGTCAGGAACAGGTAGTTCCGCCAGGCCTCATGGCGAGCGTTTAGATCTCCTCCTACTACGCGGGAGCACGAAGCGGGAACCGTTACGGGTGATGGTGGACAGGTCCTTCTTGAATTTAGCCGCTAGTTCACTGCTGGTGGCACACTGTCGAGGGCAGTAGACGGCGATGAACTGGACGAATCCAGTCGACGACTCCACCTCCACACCAAGGGCCTCGATGATAGAGGTGCGGATATGGGACAGAGTGTGGTATTTTATTCCTTTCTTGACGGTGAGGTGGGATTCCCTACACTGGTGGGAAGAGTAGCATACCTCTTCGAAGTAGGTACACTCAAGCTACCCTACCGCTGTTCTTCTTCTCCGCTTTCTCTCGGAGCCTGCTCCGGGAACGCTGTCTTCTCATCACACGAAGCGACCGACACTACTGACGACGCGATTAAACTGCGAACGTTTGGAACAAACTAGAAACTTTCGAACGCCGGCGCCGGTGGTGTAGTGGTAAGCGGGACTGCTTTCTAACACCCCAATGGGTCTGGGTTCAATCCCAGCCGAGGTCGGTGGGATTTTTCTGAGGCATAAAAATCTCTGGTCACGTCTTCCTTCGGAAGGGAAGTAAAGCCGTTGGTCCCGGCCCCATGTGTGTTGAATGGGTGCGAGATCCTACGCAGGTGTGGAAGCTGCCTTCCTGCACATTCGATTGCCGTCAATGGATGGCAATCGATGTCCGTCGGTGATTGGCACTAGATTGCGGAACAGAGACCGACGTTTAATAAAAGAAAAAAAAAGAAACTTTCGAACAACTCGTCAGAGCGAGCAAAAACCGAACTGTACTGCTTGACGATCAAGCAGAGAATCTATCTGAATAATTAACCTTTTCATGGAACACCATTCTTATCGGTACCAGTTGCACAGTGTATGCCACTACCCATGCTACCTCCACCGCATCCGGAACATCCCATGCTACCTACTCAGCAGCCTGTTCCAGTCCTAGTCACTCCCCAATCCATCGAAGCTTCTTCGGCGGCTAAAAGAGATCCACAACGGAAGCACTTGCCACCTGGGACTGAATACATGAAAATCCACTTCAGCACGCACAATCTGGACTGCTCACCTTCCTAGAGTACCACCGCAAGAAATAGATCAACCTGAAACACCACAAAGATCAAAACAAATCGAAAAATCGTGGTCCAGAAAAAGTTGATAAGGATATCCAAAACAGGGCAGTAAGGAGCTCAAGCAAAGCGAGGAAATCAATATTACTGTAGAAATGATTCCGAGCAAGAATCAAGCAGTTGACCGACGAAGTTTTTCACGCCGAAAGAGTGACGTTTTTCTCCGGTAATGAAGGAAAAGCCTCGCATGGATTCAAAATTTACTGAGAAGTCACACAAGACTTAGTATGATTCTCCTTCTACGTCGCAGAAAACAGAAAAAAAAGGTGAGAGGAAGGCCAAGGATCTCTTCGGTGAGCAGCTATTCCAATTTGACAAGATGTACCGCAGTGGCGACTTTTCGAAAAAAGCTCCTCCATCATCTGGAATTGGAGGATTTAAAATTCAAAACTAACAACTGAAAGGCCTCAACTCCATTTTGTAAACAAACCTTGTAAGGCCATTTTGTCACGAACCGAAGTTCGCCAACGCAAACCAAAAAAATGAACAGGTAGGGGAAATTCTTGGTCTTGAATTACCAAAATAAACGAATTGAGTAACCTAGTGAATTTATATCAAACCTGTAGAAGCAGCACAACACACGAGTCAACGTAAGGAAAAGTCGAAGAGCAAGTCACTGGATTCGCCGAAGGTGGATCACGATGACATGTGAGCTACTGTAACCGACAAGAAGGCTACTGAGATCAGAGACCACACTGCCAATAAAAATAACTCAGTCACTTCTACTCAAAAGAATGGAGAAATTTCTAAAAACTGCAGGAACTCAGCGCCGAGTACCTGCAGTTTTTATAAAGTTCTCATACAATAGGGAAGAAGTGACTCTCATTGGCCATGCAAGGACCGGTAAAAGATCGCGGTGGACGTTTAATAGATTTTTGAAGGATTAAAACTATGTTCAGTGCACGGTTCACTAGGAAAATTGACGGTTTGTGATGTGTAGTGGTGTTTTTAAAGATTTTGTGTGCCTCTTGGTTTGCGGAGATTAGAAAACCAGCATCAGTTCCAGCGTATTTCCGTTTCTGAGCTGAAAAGAAAGGAGGATGCAGACAGTCAGCGGTACAGGTACATTTTTGAGATGTCGGTGCGATTTTATATTTTATATTATTTAAAGAACATTTCCCAAGAGGGCGGGACACTAGGAGAGATCATTGCATTCCAACGCAATGCTGTTTGGTCAAGTTAAACTTTATTCTTCTAAGCCTTTTCACTTGCCAACAGTACAACAAACGGTTCTTCAACCGTACTCCCAACGTAAATATCTGCTCTTCCATCGTCATCTACTAGCACTGCCGTTCCCGTACAGGCCCCGTCTTCTGCTTTTCCACTAATAATATCACAATACATTCCCGGTGCGAGGCAGGTAAACAGATTCGCTTTCAAAGCAAGCGAAATTTCCGCATTGAATGCAACGAATCCAACTTTTCCTCGGCAAAAAGCAACCTGGTTTTGTCCGTTGTCTACCCAGTTGATCACAGCCTGCCCGGATACTTCCTTTCTAAACCTCATCATCTGCTGCACTACGCTCCATCGATGCTCGCAAATCCACCCACCAGTGCACTGATCTTTATCATCCAATGCGATTTTGGTGATCTTTCCACGTCCATCGCTTGGAGGTCCATCGTCAATGTCCAAAAACAGAAAGGAGCTCATGATTCTCGGAGTTCCATAACGATGCGCCAACATAAAAATCATGGCAATTTTATAAAGGCGTTGATTTTTAAAAGTGACTATTGCCGGTGCTTCATCCAAATCAGGAACCCTTTGTAAAGCGGGGGAATCTAGAAATACAATCGATCGCTCCCTCGGTATATAGCCAAGCCTTGTACCGAGATTGACCATGTAATGGAAAGGCCTTCGCTTGAACATGACATCTGCGATATCATATGCGAAGCGATACTCTGTTGCCATGCCCATTAAGGTGTATTCGTTCTTCCGTGAGCCTCCCTCATCGAAATCTGCAATATCGTGGTAAATGAACGGTCGGCTCCCGGGGGAAATTCCCGTAGTAGTCAAATTCTCCAGATTCGTATAAATTGCCTAAAATTATAAAAGCTTGACACCTTATTGTGTTCGATTTGCTACAGGCCAAAATAAAACCCAAAACTCACCCTCAAATCATGTGGCCAAATATTCTTCGCAGCATGAATGTAGAATCCTGTTACCCCTATCCGGATCAACTTGTTTAGAAAATCAATCATCCTCTGTCTAACTCTCGCCAAACCCTGATTCAAATCAGGTAAATCGTCCAACAGGCAATTTCGCACCTCGTGTGGATCACTTTCGTCCAAAATCGTACAAGCTTCGTTGAAATCCCCTGCACCATAAGGTACTTCTGGATACTCCCGATAACCAGGATTCGCTACTGATCCCCCGGTACCCTTCACCGATCCGCTTCCTCCAGCCATATGATTTAGCACCACTTCCACGTAAACCCGAACACCAGCATCGTTACAAGCCCGCACCATCGAACGGAGCTGTGATTCATCACCCGAACGACCCGCTATTTTGTACGAAATGGGCTCGTACCGTTCGCGCCAGGAGCGGTTTGGCATGACGCGAACTTCGTTCACAGGAGACACCTGCACCGCACCGAACCCCTTCGGGCCCAGATAGAGGGCGCACTCTGTCTCGATGTCCTCGAAGGTCCTTTCGAAAAGTTGCACTATGGCACCGCTACTGCCGTCCTCAAAGTATGGATTAAATTGAGCCAATAGAGTCGACAGTGACAGTACAAGTTGTATCAGCCAACAGAACAGTAGGCTGTGCATCGCGAGAATGACGTTGGAAACTAATGCTTGTTTTGCCATTTCATGGCGAAGGTGACTAGATCATGTTCCGCTTCCGTTTGATCTGCAATGAGCGTAAAGTACTGTTCATTCACAAATGGAATTATCTGTTTCGTTGTACAGTTTAAAAAAAATAGTAACTGCATTATTGCAATGAAACCGTGCACGACCAATGGGATCAACCCAAATTTGAGATAGGTTTACTCATAAATCGCAAAAAGTGTGGAACTCAGCGATGAGCAAATTTGCCTTATGTTTTCCTGTGAAAAAGTTTAAAAATCTAATAGAAAATTGATGTAAATTTTATTCAATCTAGGAGTAGTACGAATAGACTGAGAAAATCCAATCTACACTTTTTTTCATATTCGGGATTTTTTCCTGGAAAAACCTGGCTAATTTACTCATCGCTGAGTTCCTGCACTTTTTGCGATTTATGAGTAAACTGAACTCAAATTTGGGTTGATTGGCCGTGTGTTGATCGTAGGTTTGGGGATACAGTGATCCCTCCTTTTATGCGGTGGGTTCCTGTGGGCTTGCCACTGCGAGAAGATGATTTTTCAGATCCGTCGTCATTCGCTTCAAAAAAGAAAAAAGAAAGTCGATCGATGATACTTTGGACCTAATGCATTGTTCAGCTAGAAAGCATGCTTATTAAAAAAGTAGATTAAGTGTGACTTGAATATTGCGGGGTTGTCAACAAACTACGTAGCATTACGTCAGATTGTTGAGGAAAAACGTCCTCTTTTAGTTTTATTATCTGAAACTCATATTGTAGAAACTGAAGCTTTTGATCAGTATAGTATTCCGGGATATATTGTTACTGCTTGTTTATCACATTCTAGACACACTGGCGGTGTTACTATTTATGTCAAAGAATCAGTTCAATTCAACCTTCGTACCAACGAAGTTATTGATGGCAACTGGTTCTTGGGCATTACAGTTGTACGTGGCATGAAGATGGGTAATTATGGTGTTTTGTATCATTCTCCCAGTTCTAGTGACCAGCGTTTTGTTGAAGTTTTACAGAACTGGCTCGAGACATTCCTTGATTCTAGTAAATTAAATATATTGGCTGGTGATTTTAATATTAATTGGCGTGATAACCATAATTCGAATCATTTGAAGCGTTTAGCTGAGTTTTTTAATTTAAAGCAAACAGTAAATGAATATACGCGTATTTCCAGGCACAGTAGAACTTTAATTGACCACGTTTATTCCAATTTTGATTGCATTTGTTCAGTTACGGATACTGATTTGAAAATAACCGATCATGAGACTTTAGTGATTAATGTCTTAGACCATGTTAACGATAACTATAATTTTGTAAAATTGAAGTGCTGGAGGAAATATTCGAAGCAAGCTGTTTCGAATCTTGTTGAGAGAAGCCTGGATTTTCCATTCGCGGCCGGTAACTTAGATGAATCTACAGCTGTTCTTAATAACGCTTTGAAAACGTGTACCAATCAACTAGTTGAGCAAAAGTTTGTTTCTTTGAAGAACTCGAACAGCTGGTACAATTTGGATCTTTTGCGTCTTAAACGGAAAAGGGACAAATGATACAAAAAATTTTGTAGATCAAATAATGACAATCATTAAAATAGGTACACAATCACGCGTAATCAGTATTCACAATCGATAAAGAAAACTCGTTGTGAATATGTTCAAAGGAAGATTGATCAGCATCAAAAATCAAAACAACAGCAAAGAGTTATGGAAAATTTTGAAATCTTTATTAAAACGTAGTAATTGCAAACCGCGGTCCATAACTTTTAATGGCACATTAGAACAGTCAGAACAAGTAATTGCAGCTAAGTTTAATGATTATTTTGTAGACAGTGTTTCATTGATTAATCAATCCATTGAATTGGTCGATGAACCTGACGAAATAAAACAGCCAGTTATAGTTGTAGATTTGAAGTTTTTCACCCAATCACATTAGATGAACTTAGAGTTATTTGTTTTTCATTAGGAAAATCGGCTGGAGTAAATAATGTTAATGCTAGAGTTATTCAAGATTGCTTTCATGTCATTGGCCACATCTTGCTGGACCTTATTAATGAATCATTACAAACTGGACATGTGCCACAAATTTGGAAGGAATCCTTAGTGGTTCCTATTCAAAAAGTTGCTGGAACGATTAAAGCCCAAGAGTTTCGTCCCATCAACATGTTGCACACATTAGAGAAAATCTTAGAACTTTTTGTTAAAGGCCAGCTGTTGGAGTATTTGAATAGCAACTCTTTGTTGATACCAGAACAATCGGGATATCGGGAAGGTCATTCTTGTGAAACCGCGTTGAATTTGGTATAAGCGAAATGGAAAAATGACTTGGAGTGTAAAGATACGATTGTTGCTGTTTTTTTTGGATCTTAAACGCGCTTTTGAAACAATTTCTAGGCCCTTATTGTTAAGATCAATCAAGCGCTTTGGAATTACGAGTACTGCATATAAATGGTTTGAAAGCTATTTGTCTGACAGAACTCAACGGACTGTTTTTAATGATTCTGTTTCCAGTCCCGTGGGGAATAACCTTGGAGTGCCCCAGTGAAGTGTATTAGGGCCCCTGTTATTTATTATGTATATTAATGACTTGCGACGTGTTTTACGATTTTGCGACATTGATCTTTTTGCAGATGATACTGTGTTATTCATTGCAGCTAAGGATTTAGATGATGCCGTTTTACACTTGAATGAAGATTTGCGTTCTCTAAGTAGATGGTTGAAGTATAAGCAGTTAAAATTGAATACAAGTAAAACTAAATTTATGGTAATTTCGCGGAATCGAGTAAATGAGAACGTCTCTGTTGTAATTGATGATGCGACTATTGATCGCGTTTGGGAGATTAAATATCTTGGCGTGATTATTGATGACACACTTAAGTTCAACTCTCACATTGACAATGTCATCAAGAAAATTGCCAAGAAGTATGGAATTCTATGTCGATTGAAAAACGATTTAACTATTGCCAGTAAAATACAACTATACAAATCAATCATCTCTCCTCATCTTGATTTTTGCCCTTCCATTTTATTTTTGGCCAATGCAACACAAATATCGAGATTACAGCGCTTGCAGAATAAAATAATGCGTTTGATTTTGAGATGTAATAGATTCACTTCCTCAACTTTGATGTTAGACGCCTTACAATGGTTGTCGGTGAAGCAAAGAATTGTATATTTGACTATGGTGTTCATTTTTAAAGTAGTTAACGGTTTGCTGCCTCGATATTTGTGTAATCGAATTGATAGAGGAAGTGACTTTCATAGATATAATACTAGAAACGCGGTTGAAATAAGAACACTACATTTCTTGACTTGTGCTTCACAAAATTCATTATATTATAAAGGAATAAATGTTTTCAATTCGATGCCTAGAGATATCAAACGTTTAGCAACACTTACAGAATTTAAAAGACACTGCATTTCACACGTTAAAACTGTCTTTTGAACGGTTATCCAGTGATTTTTTTTTATGAATTGACAAATTATGTAGGGGAAATGATGGCTTCGGCATGACAGACTATTTTCGGCAACCCAAATTGAAACACTATGTTCACTGGATTTGCTTACGAGAACACTTCGCTGAATGCATGCAAACGATTCTTTATGCTTTCAGCTTCAATTTGACTATATTTTTATCACTGAGAAAAAGCAATCTAGCAAGGTTTTCTTGAAATGCAACACACGCACTACAAATTGTAGCTGATTTCGAGTTGCCGATAATAGAACAGCAGATTTACATGCAGTTCAAATGGAACGGTTGCCGAAGAACAACTGGTTGCCGACAATACTCGCTCTCATTAGAGAAGATTGGAGCTTTGTGAAAGCGTTTCAAAACAGTTTTTGACAATTCTTTCGACTGAAATTGTTAGAGCAGCTGGCAGCAAAAGATTGTAAACAAACCAATACTGCATATGTGTGCGTTCCTTAGAGAAAAAGGCTATAGAAAGAAGGTCACTGCTTAGTTTGTCGAGAATACGTAAATTCCCCTATCTTGACGAAGTTATTTTTAACGGATTATTTTGTATGGATAGCTGTTATAACGACTTTTTAATAATTATTGTAGCACTGCAAAAAATTTTGTTCGCCACGAGGATGATGATGGATTTTTTATATTAGTAGTAGTAGTAAAAAAAACAGTAGTCTACAAAGGTTTGAGCCTAGCGCGCGTATTACGGATATAGAGGACTGAATTTAACATTTGATAAAAAAAAAATGCAATTTTGAAGCTTATTTGGAAGATACCATAAGTTAGTAGTAAGTTTTCTGGCAAATGTTGGGGGTTCGTGAGCATTCCTGACATTGCTGAAAATTATGATAGCATCAGATTGCGGAGTTGCTAGTGTAATAGGATGCTTTGAGGATTGTTCATTAACTCTTGATTGCTTGTAATACTTATGAATATTTTAGGTGGACAAAAAGGCGAACTAAGAGGTAGACGCCTGAGCTTTTCCACATTTATATCGCTGTGAAGCAACTGTAAACTCTAGAGGGAATTTATATCTGTAACTGAAACCAGTTCGATTTTGTTTGCCAACCTGGTTAAAATGTCATATTCAATTATCTTAAAGATAAATCGTCCAGCTCAAACCTTTGTGGGGGTAAGAGGTGAGACCATCATCATCATCATCATCATCATCTATAACTTCCAAAATCTGTAAATGTTAGCGTCAAAATTAAAAACAAAAAATCTGCACTTTCACATAAACCTCTGCTTGTAAGCTGTTAAGAAATGCAATGTATGAAATCATAGCCTACCTAGATATTCCCTATCTCACATACCACCTGATGGAAAAATCAGCAGATCTCGCTTTATAATAGTTGTGAATAAATTCAAGTTTTTAAATGAATATTTTCCCAAAGCAGGTCCTGTTATAATAAAATGTCCAATCGTCCTTCACTAAGATCGTAACGACTATCCCATCTCTCTTAAAATTATGCAACACGTGCAGCAACCCTTCTCAAAGCATGTTCGCTTGACTCGCAACAACGTGAGCATGTCTGCGTCTGCATCCGTCATCGCTTCCTACGATTGACATTTCTGAAGCTCCACTTTATTAGGATCTCAGCAGCAACTAGGTCCTCATACCTCATGCTGGGAACACAAATCACATGGAACATTAGGCAAAAAGCGTGACAACAGAGAGGATTCCTGTCGAAGGTTGCTGAGCGGACATGCGCTTTTTCGTGCATATTTCAAGGCTCTCCTCTATCTCCACCGATTCCCTGAGGTTGCAAGGCATCGATGATGCAAAGCTGACCATCAGTTCTCTTATCACCAGCGGATTGTTAGCAGCAAATTCTTTACCAGCTGAGGTAGGTCATTTTCACCAGCTTTTGGGCTGGGACCAAAAGTGGAAAATTTCTGGACTTTTGCAGTACTTTCCGTTGTGAAAATTGTCCGTTTTTTAACTTTAACGTCTGTCCGTTCTGGGTTAGTTTGTAATATTTGTGGAAGTTGGTGGAAATTTGTGGAAATTTCAATTTGTTAGCTGATTGAAACACTGGATCCTAATTCAAGGGATTAGCATGCCAAGCGGACGCATCCGTCTGAAATGGGATAATTTGTTGGCTTACAATCCTAAAACGAACACTGTTCCATCGATTAAAATCAAATCTTGATCATAGCAACCGTTTTCATTCGCTTACAGGCCAGTTTTTGAATCCAAGTGATCCAGGTGGAAAAGTGGAAAATTCGGAGGCCATTGGAAAAGCAGTGGGAGCTGCGTTGGTGCGTGAGTGTGCGTGTGGAAAGCTTCGCTCGCTAGCTGTGTGAGTGTGGAAGCGCAACACTTGGTTCTCTCACCTCTCCGGTGACGGGAGCAAGCCAAGAGCACAAATATTTCCTCCCCCGGGGTGACAGCGCGTGATAAGAAAGCCCCGACAATATCAGTAGGCAAAACTATCCAAAACAACAACTCCACCACCATATCCACCACCCCCTTTCCTGAGTAACCAGTTCGCAGAAAAGCTACTAAGATTGCAACAGGTTTGTTTATGTTTGCCTGCAACTCTCGGTGAGAGTGGACGCTAAAAATAACCCAATAAATGGCGTTATGATGTCATTCAGTTCATCAGTTCTTAGCGTTCGTTGCGTTGTTGGCATGGCTACCTGGAAATCCCATTTTCTTTTTTTTTACCCTTCTGTTTGACCCGAATCGAAAAAGGGAAACTGTTTTATCCGTAGCCTACTCAGACGACGTAATGAGAAATTGATGGAACCAGACACCAATCGGCCTCATTCGGTCGGATGGAAAATTGCTCGATGGCTCTTTAATAGATTCAATTATAATATCTTCTTTTTTTTTGTTGTTCGTAGCAATAGAAATAACAGCTATGCCTGAAGTGTTGCCACTTTCTGGCATGGCTGATGCCGAGCCGGACCTGTCGACGTTCGAGAACAAGTCCGGTCTGGCGGAGGACATGAAGTTCCTCGCCTCGATGCCGGAGCTATGCGATGTCACATTTCTGGTGGGCGAAACCCGGGAGCCGGTTTGCGCGGTAAAAGCCGTCCTGGCAGCACGGTCCCGTGTCTTTCAAAAGATGCTCTACCAGGCACCGTCTCCTCAGCGCAAGAAAGAACCACCTCCAAGGGAGAACAAGTTGCGTCTGTTTTTGAAACGATCCTCGGAACCGTTGCTGAACTTACAGAATGCTGCCCAGCAGGTAAGTTTTGATAAGTTTATCAAACTTAAAACATGTTATTATTTGAGCAGATGTCTTTTAAATCATGAAAAGTTTATGCACTAATCATCGAATGAAAACTTGAATATGATTTTAAGAGTAGATTAAAAAAAGGATTAAACAAATTTCGAATTTTAATTTAACTGTGCGATTGTACATAAACGAAGTCAGGATTTGCTAAAACTTAAAGCTTTTTATCCAGCAAAAAAAAATGCATACCAAGAACGCATCCATTTGATCCTGTACATAAAATCATTCAAAGCTACGTACGTGTTGTGAGTGTAGTGTTTGAAAAAATTTCATCATTGTCCACTTTTCCAATTCCCCCTTCTTTCCATATCTTTTTTGGTGCAACGAATCACGAAATAATTGTTGTCAATAAATCAAAAAATTAAAAACCACTGTCACTTTTGTCACAAATAATTCACCGTCGCCAAAAACACTAGCGAAGTGGCTTCAATCAGCAGCTGGCGCCAATCGCTGAGGTAAAGAGAACCTTGAAAACGGAAAATCCGGACTGTCCTATGTAGTGCTTTGCTTTCCTCCTAGTCGATGGTGTGATACTATTTAAAGGGACTGACATACTTACTTCTAACACTATTCTGTGGTTGATTGTATGCGCTGTATTCTTATTTATTGTGTAGATAAATACTTATATTTGTTATTACTATTCTGATCAAAAATAACTCCAAAACAGTTACTTCTTAGATTCTTTGAATTTCACCTCTCTTCTTGAATGTTTGTTGCACGCTATGAGCACAAAGTTTGAATGAGAAAAATCGTAATGAATGAAGGCAATATTTACAAACATTTTAATTTTGTCGCACCTCTTAACGGAAGCCCTTATGTAGAGATTTTTTTCGAATTATAACGGATTTAAAAGGAAATACAGGAATCTCCCGTCCACCCACTGGACTATCTTTCATCAAATTGAACTGATTTTTTCGAATATGATTAAAATCAACCATAAACTTGTCACGCGGAGAATCGGAAGAACTCAAAATTAAGTCTTTTGTACTCACAACTAGTCGAAATAGAGTTCTTTGCGATGTATACAAATATCCCGTTGGTTCCACTCTTCTCTCCTCAGACTGCAGCTGATCTTCTCATCCGAATCACATTGAAATTATGTGGTAGGAACACAAAAGAGAACAATAAATCATTCAGCACGAATAACACTTCACTAGCTTTGGAATTATCATCTGGCTAGTGGAGGCTATTCCGCTTGTATATGACCTCCTTGGTTGACTCGATGTATGGAGCAAGGAGAGAGGATTCCTGAAATTTTATGAATCCCGGGATTCGGGAATACAACATTAGGATTTCTCGGGACTTCTCGGGATTCGGGAATTTCCGATTGAAGTAGTACAAACTAAACAACGATTTAATTTAATTATTATTTTATCGCATATCAGATAACAACTACAAGATGAACTTTTAATCCTTGCTTCAAGTTAAATATGTCTGTTGACTTTTGCTGATATCACTTTGGCTAATTTTAATTCATGAAATGCGACTTAAGGAAACACAACATTTTGATGATGATGAGAAAACTCGCTCACTTTCGGTCGAAGTTGGCCTAACGCTTTTCAAAGCTTTGAAAAGCTTCTCGATGTTGGGAGAAAGTTTTACATGTAGCTCATTCAATGCAAATTCTTTTTGGATTATTTCTGGCAATGTCAGTGTTACTTGTACTAGGTACCTTGCGTTTAGAAGTGTGTTCATCAATGCACTGAGTAAATTTTTCTCTAAGTACATCAACCTTCACTTTTGACTCTGTGTGCACTTCTTCTGTTATTCGGAGACGAGCCAGCCAACGGCTCCTTAATAAAAAAAAACTTCTTCTGTCCGTTAGAAAGATGTCTCCGGAACGGGATGATTCGATGAAGATAAGTTATTCTCATCACTTGTCAAGTCGATTACTCTTGATGCTACCGATTTGGCCATTTTCAGAATTTGAGTCCGAGATGCCAGTAGAAGTTCATTTGTTCCGGTACAATCCTTGTTCCGCAGAAAACGAAGCAAAGATACAAGTTCAACGTTGCGTCTTTCAGAGATTCGCGTGACCACCGCTTGAAAAACCGTTTTCCGATGTGATTTGTTTGGTCCTTGAGAGTACTGATGAGGAAATGTAGGGTTCCTTCAGCTTGGAGGAGATCTGCGTTACGGCTTGATAAAGAAGCAAAACGAACTGTGATTGTACCATAGAGGTAACTCTAAGACTAGAAGGTCCCGCAGAAACGAGCTCAACTTTTTGGCTCAGCTCTGGTACTATCTTCGGTCCCAAGCTAATCGGTGCACCCCTCGAAACATAATAAAATCCACGAACCCCTCATTTTATCTGTCAAACTTTCATAGCGAATCAAAACAAACATAGTGTAGTACTGGAATTTATACTAGAATGGGATACATTAATCGATTTGCTTGGGACCAATAGGCTAGTCAAGTAGTGAGCCAATTTAAAATCGTTAGTTTCGTATTGATTGTTGATTGTACTGCTTCTATGTCATCCTCTTTGACCGAGAGATACTTGAGATTTTGCTCACCGAGAGTTATTTGGACACATGAGTGTACTAGCAAAATTCATCAGAACTGAAATCAGTATACTGCATATTTATAAAGGACGTTGGAAACAGCCATATAAAGGTTGTTGCAGGTAATCTGTTGGAGAACCAAACTCGAGCATCACTTTCGCATCATCTGTGGTTGACCCAATGACATCTGCGCTGGTCAAATTGAATTCTGCCAATTTCTCCTGAATCAAATCAACCATACGTTCAAGACCCCTCTATTCGAGCCAATCCAAGATTGAAAGTCCTTCCATCTGCACAATGTAAGTTAACATTCAGATATCTCCTGTTTTTGAGACTAGTCCACTCGTATAGAGTGAGACTGAACTTATAAGCACGGCGAGTTTCAATCTGCTCGATAACCTGTTTTCAAATCAAAACAAACATATTGATCATTGTATTTATTTAAAACACTGTTACATTTTACGTGCTTTTTGGCATCTTCATGGAAGTTCCGAATCAGATTCATCACGTTTTTCCTACCAGTGGGCGATTAACGAATGAAAGTACTTTTATCGACCCCAGCGATCGAGAATTCATCAACAGCAGCGAGCCTCGCAACTATCTCAGATTGTTCTATGCGTTTTAGGTAGCCTGACAAAACTTGATTGTTTTGCTTGTTTTCAAGTCTTTCAAAGAGCTCGGTTGATGCTGGGATTCTGATGGTCGTTTCAAGTTTATGTTATGAGTTGATTCGAGATGTCGATTCAGTCCGGATTAACTGCATCCCTTGCAATTCAGCTCCTTCACACAACGAAAACACATTGCCTTGTCTGCCGTGGTAAAATGCTTCAAACCTTCTAAGGAATTAAAATCTTTTCTCTTACTAGATGAAATCTGCAAAACTTACGATTTTATCGACCCTATTTTCGAAAATTTGCATTGTTATAGCAGCAAGTTGAAGAATTCCTCCATTAACACGTAAATAACTTCGAGCATTGATTAGGTTTTGAAATGAAATATTCCCAGTGACAATGACCCAACTAATATTTTCAGCTTTATAAGCCAACTTTGCCAGCGTTTTGCTGTACAAACAGAAGCTAGAAAAATATTTTTGGAGAGCGTTTACTCAACTTATAAACGCTTATGTCGCTTATATGCAAGATGCAAGATGCAACTTTTGGCTGCAAAACAAAGCTAATAAAGCAAATATATTACTTATTTGGTGGCTTCAATTAAACCAACCACTCTTGCTGAATAACATAAACATCAAAAGTGCCTTTTCAACAACTTAACAACCTGTACTCAACTAATAAACGGTAAAAATGTAAATGAATCATTAAACAATGACGATGTTCCTTAAAAAGTAAAAAAAATCTCCTTAAAATAGATCGGGTTGCTCCTTAAATGATTGATCAAAATACGTTAAAAATCTTAAAATGCTCAATAAATATTTAAAGTACGCTCCCTAAAATAGAGACAACTGCACATTAAGCATTTGAAAATGCTCCTTAGTATGCACCGCTTTGCACCATTTTGAAGTGTAATTGTAACATATATCATCGGAAAAGCTGCTGTAGAAAGGTTAATAAGTACCATGAAATCAGCTGAAATGTTCAGTAAATCATTGAGTGCATTTGTGCATTTTTACTGAACATTTCAGCTCTATTTTAGGGAGCGTACTTTAAATATTTACTGAGCATTTTAAGATTTTTAACGTATTTTGGTCAATCATTTAAGGAGCAATTCGATCTATTTTAAGGAGATTTTTTTTACTTATTAAGGATAATTTCATCTGTTTTATTGAGCAAAAGTAGGGCTGCCCTAATAAACTGTGTTAGCGCTACTTCGGAAGCCATTTTACTGTCAACTAAATAGGTTTATTTTTAGACGTGTGCAGTTTTTCTTTACAAAGCTGAATTAACTAGTCGAGAAAAGTGATTAATGTGCACTATTTTAAAGCCTCTACTCAGCGATCTTGTTGAAGAAGGGCATCTATTTTGGCGTACGTCAGTTCATAGTGTTGGCGTAGCGAAGTTGGTAGCATCAAGGTTCGCCAATGGTGTCGTCTCGAGCAGGGGTTGAAACAGTTGACGTTTTTTACTACACTCGCTTCGTTGTCGTACGCGACAGTCTGTTTGTATTCGAACACTCGTGCTCTACCGTCGTCTCTCTCACACAACACGAGCGGTAGAATAACATTCGAGCTAAAAGAAAATAATCAAAATAGCTATCATATGACATGTGTGATTTCGTTGTAATTCCTCAATTTGGTGTAAATCAAACCATTTCTGATCAGAAATATTATTACTAGGACATCATTGCTTGCTATTTTCAGAATTCACACAAGCACACCATCAGCAGCTCGTATTATGAGAAAAACTAAAATACATACATTCGTGACGGTCTTCGGCGACAGTGTCGTATGACAGAGCCTGTCATACGACATTTTAGTTTGGTACTGTACTATGA